CCTGCTCAGCAGGGAGTCTGCTTTTCCCTCCCCCTCCCCTCTGTTCCTGTTCTCTCTCTCTCTCACAACTAAATAAATAAATAAAATCTTTTAAAAAATTAAGCTCTAAAAAAAAAAAAAAGGCAGACGAAAGAAAAGCCCATATAACCACAATACCTTGTTTACACCTGAAACAATATAGACCAGAGTGTCTCCTTTGTGTTAGACTTGAATCTCCTTACATGCTCTTTTTATATTTGTATGTGTTATAAATGGCTATTGTCTTTCTCTTCCAGCAGCTTTCTTTTGCTGAATGTGAATTCTGTTTGTTCAGACCACTTCTCTCTCCGATCTAGGCTTATCGAGGCTCAGATCTGGTTGCTGGAGCACCCTGAGTATAGGCATCTGCCTGGTGGTAGAAGCAAAGTGGTCTTCAGCTCATAGACTGGTGGTGGAAAAGCAGCTCCCTGGAGGCCCTGCATCTACCAGTAGTCCTCTAGCTTCAGGGCAGAGGGGGTCGTTCCACCATTTTGACTCTCTCCTGGCTTTCAGATGCAAGGAGATCAAGCCAAGTTGATACACTCCCATAAGCCAATAGCTCCATTCCCCCAGGAGTTCACAGTCTCTGAAGACCACCTTCTTCTCTGGACCAGCCATTGTCCTGTCTTACTCCAGGACTCTGTCATCAAGTCGCTTGAAGCTCAGGAGAGATGCTGACCAAGGAAGGACTATAGATAGGAAATGCCAGAGGAGCGGCATGGAGTATTAAGCTCAAAGGAGGAAGGACTAGATCCCTGTGGGACTGAGTAGTTAAGGAAGGCTATGCCTTTTGATGAGGTTGCCATTCAATGGGTAAAGAACAATTCTCTTCAACAAATGGTGCTGGGGTAACTGGGTATCCACATGCAAAAGAATGAAGTTGGACCCCTGCCTCACACTATATACAACATTAATTAAAAACCTAAATACAGGAGCTAAAACCATAAGACTCTTGAAAGAAAACAGGTAAATCTTTATGACCTTGGGTTTGGTAGTGGATTCTTTTTTTTTTTTTTTTAAGATTTTATTTATTTATTTGATAGAGCAAGACAGCACAAGTAGGGGGAACAGTAGAGGGAGAGGGAGAATCAGGCTTCCCGCTGAGCAGGGAGCCCGATGTGGGGCTCGATCCCAGGACCCCGGGATCATGACCCAAGCCGAAGGCAGACACTTAACCATCTGAGCCACCCAGGCGTCCCTTGATAGTGGATTCTTAGATATGACATCAAAAGGAGGAGCAACAAAAGAAAAAATAGATAAATTCGACTTCATCAAAATTAAACTTTTGTGCATCAAAGGACCTTGTCAACAAAGTAAAACAATTTAGAAAATATTTGCAAATCATATGTCTGATGGAAGTCTAGTATCTAGCATATATAAAGAACTCTTACAACTCAACAACAAAAAGAATTTAAAAGTGGGCAGGGGATTGTTCACTTCAAGAACAGCAATAGCCATTTATAATACATACAAATACGAAAAGAGCAATGAAGGAGATTCAAATTTAGCACAGAGAGACTTTTTGGTAATTTTTTTTTTAAGTTACTTATGTTTAAGGGCGCCTGGGCGGCTCAGTCAGTTAAGCGTCTGCCTCCAGCTCAGGTCATGATCCCAAGGTCCTGGGATTGAGCCCCACATCGTCGGGCTCCCTGCTCAGTGGGGAGTCTGCTTCTCCCTCCCCCTCTCCCTCTCCTTCTGTGCTTTCTCTCTCTCTCTCTCTCTCTCTCAAATAAATAATAAAATCTTTGAAAAAAAAGTTACTTATGTTTAGGTATAAAAATGATAATATAATAGAACATTAGTTTATGTGGGTTTTTCCCCCTCTAGTTTTTTTAAGAGCTTAAATTATTTTTTTTAATTGAGGTTAAAGTCATAAAAAATTAACCATTTTAAAGTGAACAATCCAGGGGTACCTGGATGGCTCAGTCATTAAGCATCTGCCTTCGGCTCAGGTCATGATCCCAGGGTCCTGGGTCCAGCCCCACATCGGGCTCCCTGCTCCACAGGAAGCCTGTTCTCCCTCTCCCACTCCCACTGCTTGTGTTCTCTCTCTCGCTGTGTCTCTCTCTGTCAAAAATAAATAAATAAAATCTTTAAAATAAATAAAGTGAACAATCCAGAGCACTTAATACATTCATATTGAATAGACCTTTTTCCAAAGATCTACACGTGGCCAGCAAGCACATGAAAAATGCTCAATGTCATTAGTCAGTAGAGAAATGCAAATCAAGCCACAGTGAAATACCTCTTCACACCTACTAGGATGGCAGGTCACAAAATGGAAAGCAGCAAGTGTTGATGAGTATGTAGAGAAATTGGAACCCTGCGACTTTGCTCGTGGGAGTGTAAAATGGTACAGCCTCTATGGAAAATAATTTGGCAGTTCCTCAAATAAACCCAAAATTGCCATATGCAATTCTTGAGTATATACCTTATAGGTATATACTCAAAAGAATTGAAAACCGGTAATCAAACAAATATATGTACATATATGTTCATAGCAGCACCATTCACAATAGCCAAAAGGTGGAAACCACCCAGTGTCCATCAATGAATGAATGGATAGACAAAATGTGTCTGTCTGTCTGTCTGTCTCTCTCTCTCTCTCTCACACACACACACACACACATATATAATGGAATATTATTCAGTCATAAAAAGGAATGAAATACTGCTGCAGGCTAGAGCGTGGATTGAACAACATAGGATGACGATAAGTGAAAGAAATCAGACACAAAAGGTCACATACTGAGATGCCGTTCATTTAGAATATCTAGACTAGCTAAATCCGTAGGGACAGAAGGCGGGCTGGCCATTAATGGGTTGGGGAGGGGGGATAACTTCTTAGTAGGTACAGGGTCTTCTTTGGGGGATGAAACTGTTTGGGGACCAGATAGAGGTGGTGGTTGTCCAGCGCTGTGAATGAATTAAATGGCACTGAATGGTCCCTTTAAAATTGTTAATTTTATGTTAAAAAGAAAAGAAAGACCTGGCCTCATTGGGTACATAAAACTGAGTGGGCTGAGCATTGAAGGTGGGAAGAAAGTGTAAGTAAAGGTGGCAGCCAGGTAGAGTGTGAGTTGGGGCCCCGCTGGGGAGCCTGGGGCAGATGGTGCAGCCTCTGGCTTGTGTCTGAGTCGTGGGAGACGGGGAGCACCCTGTCAGACTGAGGCAGCAGGGCTTACTGCTATGGGCAGCAGAGAATTGGAATGGCTTGCGACCAGGAGAGGAACACCACAGGAGTAGATGAGTGGAAATGTCAGCATGTTCATGGGAGAATGAGCCAGGGAAGGCCTGGAGCTGGTGGTCAGTGTGGAGGTTGGCAGTGCTGGACACAGCCGGTCGAGCTGGGACGGCCTGGACTAGAGGGGACGCAGCAGGGATCTGAACCATGCTTCGTGCTTCGGCTGGGCCAGGCCCGTTCCTCGGCTTTATGCTCGTTGACTCATTTAATCCTCCTCGGAGCTCTGTCAAGTATGAATTCTTCTTCTCCCCCAGTGCACAGATGAGGACACAGGCTCAGAATGGCCTAGATTTGAACCCAGGCAGGCGACCCCAGAGCCACTACAGTTCTAGTTATGATGCAGAGATCAGTGCAAGAGATTTTTTTGAAGCCCATTCACTAACTTGTAAGGCTGAGGAGAGGGAAATTGGAAGAAAGGAACTAGAGCCAGAGTAAAGACCTTTACCCCTGGGTATCCAAAAGCTGATACAGGTCTTCTTGGGTGGGTCTTCCAAGCCAGAGTATCTGGCTGGCCGACGGTCCTGCGGACTGGAGTCATGGCTAGAGACAGAACTCCAGAGGAGGCCAGCAGAGGGGCCTTCCAAAGGCGGGGGGGGGGCCCTAGGTAGGCCCCCTTTCGTGCTCCCCGCGTGCTGTTCCCCCTGCTTCCCCTCCCCTGTACCCTGCCTCAATGCCCTGCCAGGCCCTCCCGGCCACAGCGAGGTAGTTTGAATCACCAGGCAGTTAGTTCCTGTCAAAAAGCCCTGGGTCCTTGTCTCTATAGCCACAGTGGTTGCCTTTCCCCAGAATGGCTCTGGAGGGCTGCGTGGGAAGGGGCCTGATCACAGACTTGCCACCTTGATGCTAATTTCTAACATTCGAGATGAAAACATGAATGATGTGAGGTTCTAGGAAGGGGACATGGGGAAAACTCTGGTAACTCTGTTCTTCCTGCTTTTGATTTCCACATACACAGCATTGCTTCGTTTCAATTATGAAATGCCCCCTGAAGGGCTGTGAGGAAAAGCTCTCCTCTAGTGAAGCTTCCAGTTATGGGGGGAGATTAAGGCAGTAAAGTCCAAAAAATAAGAAAGTCTCAATTATTATAATAGCTTAGCACTTCACTAGCCCCCTTGGCTTTCCCGTCTAGTCCTCTGGACAGGGCCCTGGGATGATAGACTTTTGGAAGCCTCGTCACTGAAACACGGAGACCCAGAGCCTCACTGTGGTATCACGTCTCCGCCTGTCTGGCCGGCCCCGTGACTCTTCCCCTCCGGCCTGGCTCGCGCCACGCCATTCCCCAGCTACGTGCCCTGCCTTGGCCTGCTTGCGGGCTTTGTCCCAGCTGGTTCCTCTCCCTGACCGCACTCTCTCACCCCGCATGGCCAGGTGCTGCCTGGCCTTCAGGATTCCACTCAGGTGCTTTTACACACACCACCTCTCTTAATCCTCACCAGCACCCTTGGAGGCGGACATTGTTGTTCCCATTTTACAGATACGCAAATATGTGTGCACATCTGTGTATAAATTACATGCACTTTACAGACACACAGAGCGAACAGAAGCACAGAGGGAGGTTAAGAATTTGCCTGTGATCGCAGCACCTGTAAATGGAGCGATTCCAAAGCCCCGATTTGCACTTTGACTCACACCTTTGTCTGCCCGACACCCGTCGTTCAGCTATACTGTAAACCCTCAAAGGAAGAAACTGAGGAAGCCTTGCTAAGCATGTTTTCCTGTCTTTCCTCTTTGGGTCCAGGTGGAAGTGAAGCCATATGTGCTGGATGATCAGATGTGTGATGAGTGCCAGGGCACGCGCTGTGGTGGGAAGTTTGCCCCGTTCTTCTGTGCCAACGTCACCTGTCTGCAGTATTACTGCGAATACTGCTGGGCGAGCATACATTCCCGCGCCGGGCGGGAGTTCCACAAACCGCTGGTGAAGGAGGGAGGCGACCGCCCTCGGCACGTCCCGTTCCGCTGGAGCTGAGCCCAGGGCAGACCCAGCCACAAGTACTGGAGTAGATAACAAGGAGGGAAAAAGAGAGGGCACTGCCTCAGGGCTTACAGTGTTCTGGAAATCTGTGCATTCGTTCTCGATTTTTAAAGAAGAAATGGGTCTTTTTATTACTATTATTTACAGTCATATTACTGAACTCAGTGTCCAGTATAATGCAAAATTGCAGAGTGTATAACGGTACTGATTTGCACTTTGATTCACACCTTTGTCTGCTTGGTACCTTAATTTCTTACACCTGATTTGTCACTCGTAGACTGCCATTCTCATCAGCGGCCATCAGGTTGATGTCTGTGATTTTTTTTTGTTTGTTGTTGTTGTGTTGTTGTTGTTGTTGTTGTTGTTGTTCTGATTGTTTTTGAACTGGAGCATGCACTTATTTTCAGAAACTTAGAGAGTTGCCCCTAGGAGAAGACTTACCAAAGGTAATACTCGTGAGTAGGTGGCAGATGTAGCAAAAACTTCACAACAGTTCAGCGATCATTAGTTGGGGTCATTTAGAGTAAGGGTAACCCTTAATGAAAATAGGCCTTTAGTTTTCTATTTTGACATGTAAGGATACCTCATAAGCTGAATCTTTATTTTTCCTTCATGTTTGATTTTTGTTTTGCTGAGGATTTTGGTTAGATCTTTTAGTGTTATGTAAATTTATGCTGCAATAGCTTTTGCTGCTATTAAGATGGTATTATTAATACCATAATACTCTCTTCAGGCTAAGGTATCAATTTAAAGAAACCCAACAACACACGTTTGTGATTTAGGGATAGAATCAGCTGCCGAAAGGAGATCAGAATAGACAACAGAAAGCTTCAACGGAAGGTCACTATTTCTGACTGCATGTTTACTTAATCAGGTTGCTGCATGCAATAAATTTTATATCCAATGTCTAGTATAAAACCTTCCCACAATGCACAAATTAAGAATCTATATAAGCTATAAAATAACTGATTTTTTTAAAAGAGTTTTTTTTCACTCAAAGAATTGGTAATTGACTGGAGGAAGGCATGCCTCAATAAATGGAATGCTTCTGAAATTAGGAAGAGCCCATAACAGAATGACCTATATTACAACCAATATAAAACCTAGGTGTAGGATATTCTTAAAGCAAATTTGTGGATGGTAGATGAAGTACTTTGCGGTGCTCTGTTATATATTGTGCAATTTATTTTATATAGTAAAGTGATTATGTCTAACTGTGATCAAACTTAACTGTTTAAAGCCTCTGTGTCAGACATTAACGAACTTGACAGTTCATAACTGGTATATTATTAACTAACACATGAGCTCTTAGTTACAATCTCCTAGTGCTTGCACCATTTACATAGCTTCAGACCTTGTCCAGAAAACCAAAGAGCTCATCTTAGCTTACAAACACTAGGAATATATACAGTATATAGAGATAAGTTGTCAGATTGACAAACTAGGCACATTTTAAGAAAGTTGCGTGGCGGTGATGCTAAAGAAATGTCTGTCCAAAACAAGATGGCCTGGGCAGGGCTGGTTGTCTGGGTGAGAAATTTAATTACTTAATTCCCTGGATTTATCCTGTAAAGCTTGAATAGAAGTAAGACCTGCTAGAACTACCATGGACATTTTTTTAGCATTCACTCTTGGGCTGCAGATAGTAATATATAAACACACACAATGATTGTGAGACTATGTAAATCTTTTTTTTTTTTTTTAATCTTCTTCCTATGTTTTGGAATTCTGGGGACAATCTGACTGGATATGACACTGCAGAATAGATTTAAGTCGCTGTGTTTTATGTGCTGTGATGTCCTTGTCCTGTCTCTTAAGACTGCTTGTTTTTGTTTTGTTTTGTTTTGTTTTGTTTCTCCAATGTTTAGTTGCAATTACCAGCTCTCAAACTATAGTTTGTTTTCAAAAAGGAAAAAACAAAATAGTTTTTTACTGGATTAAAAATGCTTATTAGACTTCTCCCCTTTTGAGGTTACCTCTGGGCTTTTTGGTAATAATTGCGTTTTTCCAGCCCAGCTGTGGTTTTCTGTTTGTTTTTTTTCTATGTTTGTGGTTTTTTTCATCTGTACAAGAAATTTTGTTATGCACTACTACTTTTTGTATTCTAGACAGTTTTCAAAAGTTGGCTGAAGATTTTTTTGTTTGTTTGTTTTTAAGGAAAAAGGCATGCTTTCTGACTGACATGATCTTTTGCAATACCTCAATTTTGAAATATAGGAAAGAAAATGATATTTTCTAAGTAAGTTTATTCAGAAAAATATATATTAATTTAATTCTGCAAGAAAAAATGATTTAACAGATGGGTAACTTTATTTTTTTCATGCTTATTTGTGTTTTTTGAAAATGAAGTTAGAGCTTTATAACTATAATATTAAAGATCATATCTAACCTACAGAAATCTACCTAATTATGTGAAAGAAGCAAAACTTTTTGAAGAAGCACCCCTCTTTCATGTACTAAAACAACACTGAGATTAAAAAAAAAAAAAGCTGGAAGCTTGTACAGCGGGAAGCTGATGTGGAGGTGAAAACCATTGTCATGAAGAATAGGTTACAAAGAATAAACTCCCTTTGGTGCTGAAAGTTGTGGATAGATGGTGGAAACTACTTTCCCTTCATTTGTATATTTATAATCAAGCGTTGATTGTGCACGACTGACCAGGATTGTGAAAGAGTTCTTCTGTTTGTATTTTTTTAAAGAGAACTTTTTTAGTTTATTAAATTATAACATGTTCCCTTTTGTTTTGTAAATAAATGTGCCCCCAAGTTGTTAATGTTATATTAAAAGAGAGGGTCCTTCAAAAAAATTATTTTTTAAAACACAAGAGGTGTTCTGACCTGCAACTTGACTGGGAAGCCCCTGGGTATCACAGGTCCTGTTGTGGCCTTTCCTTGATGTGACACTTGAACTAGTCGATTTTTTGAAGGCTAAAACCTAACCTCGACTATTTGTTGTTATGTGCAATACTGTTTGTACTGTTTGTATAAAAAATAGAAAAAAAAAAAGAAAAGAAAAAAGGCATAAATCTTTATTGCAGATTTATTTTCATTGCAAACTTTAGACATTGTGATTCACTGAAATCATTTTTCTACTGTCAAATATGTACCTTTTCTTCATGCTGGTATTTTTTCAATAGTAATGTAGCCTTTGTACTGAGACAAATTTTCATTGTTATTTTTAGAAAGATTTTTTGCTAAGAAAAAAATTAAACATATTTACATATTTTTCATTTTATTTCGTATTTTCTTTAAGGAGTGCTTTCTCAATCATTAATAGAGTTGTTTCTGGGAGGGACTTTCATATCTGGTCAATGTCATAATATTATTTTGTATTTTTACTTGGAATAAATTAATTTTATGATGCTAATTCTTTAAAAGTTTATTTTTTTCATTTTCAGTTATTTTTGAAGCTAAAACCTTTGTAATATTGTTACTAAAGTGTCTAGTTTTTTGAAATGCAAAGCTTTATGTATTAACTTGCTGATGTGGTTTACAATAGTGTGACAACGATGAACATGGTTGGTTATGTAAAGTGATTGGAAAATGTAATGGATAATTGGGTAATAAAATGACAGAATGAGCAGAACATGTGAGATTTTGACAAGCCTTTTCCTTTATTACAGTGGTTTAGTGTAAGACTAGGGATGTCACAGTACAGTTCTCTAGGGATGTCACAGTGGGTTTATACAACACCAGGTGCAGCCAGATCTGGGGCCCTGATAATGGAGTCACCCCCACCGAAATACCACCAGGTTGAAAACCCGGCTAGGTCAACAGAATGATTCACGGTTTTTCCCCTCTAACTCTTCATTATGTCCTGTGTGTGTGCGTGCATGTGTGTGAGAGAGAGAGAATCTGCCACCAACTGCTGTCCATGTGTGAGACGGAGCCTTTCGCCCAGGCCAGATCTTCCCCTTGCATTTACAGTGGTGACGTCCGGGAACAGAGGGACGCTGCCAGGTGGACGCCACCTTCTTTGTAGTGAGGCTTGGATCGCGGTGTCCCTCCCGACTTCCCTCCCGTCCGGCGCGGGTGGCATGCAGAGGAAGCATGCTCGGACATCACCACTGTATATGGACAGTCTCAGACTTGGTCTTCCTCCACCACCCCCCGCCACCCCCCCACCCCCGTTATGGTGCCCCTGGTTTGTCCCTCTTTGTGGCAACCTCTGGCCACTCCGAGCATGATCTGTCTGCCCTCCTGCTGCTTTTCCAACACCCAGCTCACCCTGAAGCCATGCTGTTAGGGCAGTGAGTCCCTGTACTGGCACCTCAAACGAAAACAAACTCAGAACACCTACGACTGCAAAACTGGTGTTGCGTAAACAGAACATTCAATGACTTGCTCTAGATAGATGGTGTGTTTCTACTAGTCCTTGACGGCCCCCTTCCAGCTCCATTGCTGCGGAGGTGAGGTTATCAGTAACTTGGAGAAACGTGTGTCCAGAGTCGGCTCCTGGGTATGCTCTATGTATTCAGTTTTGTAAATAATATATAGATTAGATCAAGTCGTGATGTAAAATTTTAACTCAAATTGGGTACTACTGGTTGGAATTTTACATTAACTACAAATAAGTGATTAGGAACAGAAGAAAAGAAATTGGAAAATTCTTGCTTAGTGGTATCAAGATTATGCTTAGATTTCTGCCTATTTCTTGTGTTTTATAGCTTGTTCGTGAGGCATGGGCTAATGCAGCGTACTGCATTTATGCAAGTAGCAAGTAACTGCTAGTTTTCCTTTTATCTATTATATTAGCAACAAAATGGCATTTAACTGGGTAAAGCTCCTACCTAAATATTTGAGTATTGTGACATCTCTACTTGCAAGGTTTGAGTGAAAGATTAGTCACAGATTAGTGAAAAAAAAGTATCTTTTTGTTAAAAGTGGCTTATTTGTATGGGTTGTTGCTTTTTCACCAGTTTGTATGGTATGTCAGTTAACATTTTGTTTTTTTTTTTATAATAACCAAACTTCTCTATCTCAGCTGCAATAGTGTTCCATTTTACCACAGAGTATTTTATAATTAATGCTGTTGACTTTATACCCCAAAATGGGTCAAGAAGTGGATATGTGATTTAGGGATGTTCAAATTTGTATGATGCAGTTTAAGGGCAACAAGTAGAAAACTCGGGTGCTAATACAGGATAACTTCTCGCTTTCTTTTCTGGATATAGTTCTGTTGGGGTATAAAGTATTAGGTATTTGTATTTTTGCTGTCAAAATAATGGACATAACTTTTAGAGTGTTCACAGCTAAGATCTCTGTATTTGTTTTTCAACTAACAACTAATTTTAAATGTATTGTATCTTTTATTACCTGTTCTCTTAGATTGTTTTTGCTAGTAAACCTTACTCAGCTTCCGCCTTTGGGGCTTGGACTAATATTGCTTGTATGGAACTGCAGTACTGTGACTACACATGGAGCTCAATGCAGCTATTGCTTACAACTGCTTAAACTTTGTAGTTTGGACTTCATTTTTTTCTGTAATAACAACTTATTAAATATAGTTGTATGAAGTACTGACACTTGTCATCCTTTACATTTGCTAGGGAATAGCTTGGAGTATGCGGATTGCATCTGGGAACATTCGCACATTCAGATTTGCTTGATTCGCCTTTTTGGGAGGGGGGACACATGATGGCAGATGAAGGACAGCAAAATTCACCTTTTCTCTGATGCAACACTTTTTCTTTCTTCTACTTTTTTTTTTTTTTTTTAAACCACAAGTATAGGGATGCCTGGGTGGCTCAGTCAAGTTTAAGCTTCTGCCTTTGGCTCAGGTCATGATCTCAGGGTCTTGGGATCAAGTCCTGCATGGGGCTCCCTGCTCAGCCGGGAGCCTGCTTCTCCCTCTCCACTCGCTATCTCTTTCTCTCGCTCTCAAATATATAAATGAAAACTTAAAAAAGACAACTATAAAGCACAAGTGTATTTGATAAAGGAAGGTATTTGTTGACACAATGCACGTGTATTCAATACAAGGTTTTTAGTGGGGCAGTTAGGTTTTCATGCCAGCACTTGAAACCAATTTTCAAAATCAAAACCAAGGAAGTCAATGAAAACGTAAGTACGCCCCTTTCGTTCTACTTTTTACCCTAGACACTCTCTGATCATTTCAGAAAATGGGTCTTTAGGGCGCCTGGGTGGCTCAGTTGGTTAAGCGACTGCCTTCGGCTCAGGTCATGATCCTGGAGTCCCGGGATCGAGTCCCAGGATCGAGTCCCAGGATCGAGTCCCGCATCGGGCTCCCTGCTCAGCGGGGAGTCTGCTTCTCCCTCTCCCGCTCCCCCCTCTTGTGCTCTCTCTCTCTCTCACTCTTTCTCTCAAATAAATAAAATCTTAAAAAAAAAGAAAAGAAAATGGGTCTTTAAAATCCCGTATCGACTTTGGACGCGCTAGAAGTTTAATCCTTTTAGAAAATGGATCACAGGTCGCTGCACGAAAGAACCCCCCGGAGAGCTTTTACAAACTGCAGGTGCGGGTGGCCCACCCCCGAGATCGCTTTCACTGGTTTGGGGTGGGGTCTGGCGCGGGTGTTTTTGAGCTCCCGGGGCCGTCCGCCAAGTCCTCGGGCCGTGCGGGGGCGCCCGGGCCCTCGGGGAGTCCAGCCGCGGCTCGGGGCCCGCCCGCCCGCCCGCCCCACCCTGACGGGGGCGGCCGGAGCGGCGCGGGGTGCTCGGCTCCGGGAAGGGATGGGGGCCGCTGGGGGCGTCCGCAGGCTCCCTCGGGCCCCGCTCAGGCCGCGGCCTGGGGGCGCCCGGTGGCACACACGCTCGGCGGGCGCGGGCTCCCGCAGGCCTTCTCCCGCCCTGCAGCCGGCACCCAGACCCGGCTCCCACGGCCGCCCCGCCCCCGAGGAGGCCCCCATTCGCCCCTCGCCCAGCGCCGCAGGTAAGCGGACCCAGCCGGGTGCGCCCGGAGGGGCGGCTCGCGTCGCCGGGCTCCGCCTGCGCGGCCAGCTGGGTGCCCCGGAGCCCGGCGCCGACGCGGGAGGCCGGAGTCGGAGCCCCGCCGTCCGGCGGCACTTAACGTTTGGAGCTCTCGATCCCTCTCGCAGCCCCCTCCAAGCTGGGCGGAGGAATATTACGTTTCGGGCCCCTTTCACTTCGGGTTTTCTAAAAATGTATCCTCCTGCACTAAGCCACAAATGGAACCCTACTTTCAGAATGCTGGGCTGACTTGGACCCCCACATTTGTCCCCTGGCAGAAGACGTTCTGCAGTCCGAACTCTTGGCGTGCAGGGGGAGCGGGAGCCTGTTCCTTGCAGGGCCGGACCTCGGGGGCCCCGCCCGGGCGCGCGGAGCTCGGCCAGGGGTCGGAGCAGCCCCCTCGCTAGACCGTCCCCGCGCTGAGCCCAGCAGGCTGGGGGCCTCCTCACCCGCAAACGCGGACGGACGCTCAGCTTTAAAATTGGACTTGGGTGGCTCCTCACCGGACCCTTGGGTCGCTCGGGCCCTCTCCAAATCCTAGTCTAACTGGGACGGTTAATGCTCGGGGAAACGGGGTGAGGGAGCCCGGTGGATGGGTCCTACTGCTATTCACAGGGCGGGTGGGAAGAAAACCCTTTCCTCTCCGCCTTTGAGGTGCCGTGATTAAGAGCCTTCGAGTTAACTGACGAAAGACAAATTAATAGAGGAGACAGAGCTTATTCTCATGCACGTGAATGAGAATATTCAATACATTAATTCACGCACATGAATCATCTAAAGGTGGGGTTTAGAACCTGACTTAATGGGAGAGAGCGAGCGGGGCGAACAGGGCTTCAAATGGTTTCTTAGGAAAGACCGTGGGTCTTCGGGAGAAGAAATGGCGAAGTTGGTGATGAGGTTTGTTTACGCGGGTGCGAGTGCCCTCCCCGTCTTCTTCCGGGCCAGTGAAGAACACCCCCTCCCCGGGGGCCCCCACAGATAAACGGCTGGAATAAAGCTCTCACTAGCACGAGAAGAGTCACCCTTCGTCTGTGCCGAGATACGGTGCTCCGTAGTCTGAGTCCGGGCATTGTGGGGGCTCCGGGAACCAGGACTTGGCCGAGCGCGTGCGCACCCACTCACCGCAGCATTTCCGTCTGGCCCCGCAGGGCAGCCCACGTCTTGTCATTTTCTTTGTTGCTACTGGTCAAGTCTTTGGTTAAGATGGTTTGAACTGGGGCGCCTGGGTGGCTCAGCTGGTTAAGCGACTGCCTTCGGCTCAGGTCATGATCCTGGAGTCCCGGGATCCGCATCGGGCTCCCTGCTCAGCAGGGAGTCTGCTTCTCCCTCTGACCCTCCCCCCTCTCATGCTATCTCATTCTCTCTCTCAAATAAATAAATAAAAAATCTTTAAAAAAAAAAAGTGGTTTGAACTGTAATCTCACTTATATGTGGGATCTAAAAACGGAGCAAAACAAAACCCAGACTCACAGATACGGAGAACCGATGGGTGGTTGCGGGACGGAAAAGGGGAAGGCGGGTGGGGCAGAAAATGAGTGAAGGGGACAAAAAGTACAAACTTGCAGCTATGAAATAAGTCGTGAGGAAGTCATGTACAGTGTGGGGAATAATCAGTAATATTGCGCTCTGTAAAATTTTTTTTCAAAGATAAAAATGAAGCTTATAGGGCTCACATGGTTAAGCATCTGCCTTCGGCTCAGGTCATGACCTCAGGGTCCTGGGATCGAGTCCCGCATCGGGCTCCTTGCTTGGCAGGGAGTCTGCTTCTCCCTCTCCCCTCTACCTCTCCCCCTGCTCATGCTGCTCTCTCTCTGTCTCAAATGAGTAAGATCTTTAAAAAAAAAAAAAGGAAAAATTTTAGAATCATGTCAGTTGAAAGATGCTCCTTAATCTCCAACCACGCCAAGAACTCAGTCACCATCTAAACCAGAGGGTGAACTCCAAATTTGTTCCTCATTCGGGCCAGGAGTCCTGTCTCCCAGTCCCCTCCTCCCTTAGACCCAGGAGTCCAGTCTTCCCACCCCTGCATCCAGGCTCCAGCCCCACCTCTCACTACCCTGCAGCTTTTGATTTATGTTAACATGGTATATCTTCATCTCTTACTTTTTTTTTTTTTAAGACTTATTGATTTATTTGAGAGAGAGAGAAAGAGTGCAAATGGGGGGGATGGGCAGTGGGAGAGACTCTTCAAGCAGACTCCCCTTGAGCATGGATCCCCAAAGTGGGGCTCAATCTCATGACCCATGAGATCATGGCCTGAGCTGAAACCAAGAGTGGACTAAATCACCCAGCCATCCCTTCATCTCTACTTTAAAAAATTTTTTAATTGTTAATTGTTTAAAAAAGCCACGTAACACAAAATTTGCCATCTTAACCATTTCTAAGTATACAGTTCAATCGTGTTAAGTATATTTATTGTTGTGCAGTGGATCTCCAGAACATTTTTAATCCTTCAAAACTGAAACTCTATATCCATTAAGCAACAACTCCCCACTTCCTCCTCCTCAGGCCCTGGCAACTACCATTCTTCTTGTTTCTGTGAATTTACTTACTTTAACTACTCTAGATACTTCATTTAAATGGAATCACAAGGTTTATTTGTCTTTTTATGACTAGCTTATTTCACTTAGGGTAATATCCTCAAAGTTCATCCATGTTGTAACATACGTCGGAATTTCCTTCCTTTTTAAAGGTAATATTTCATTGTTGGTCTGTACCACATTTTGTTTATCCATTCATCCATTGGTGCACTTTGGTTGCCTCTACCTCTTGGGTATTGTGAATAACGCTGCTATGAAAATAGGTGTGGCAAATATCTCTTCAAGATCCTGCTTTCAGGGGCACCTAGGTGGCTCAGTCGGTTAAGCATCTGCCTTCGGCTCAGGTCATGATCCCAGGGTCCTGGAATCAAGCCCCACATCAGGCTCCTGGCTCAGCAGGGAGCCTGCTTCTCCCTCTCCCTCTGCTGCTCCCCCTGCTTGTGCTCTCTCTCTCTGTCAAATAAATAATAAATAAAATATTTTTTAAAAAAGATCCTGCTTTCAATTCTACTGGATACTCAGAAGTAGAACTGTTGGATCATATGGCAATTATATTTCTGATTTTTGAGGGAGCACCATACTGTTTTCCATAGTGGTGGCACCATTTTATTTCCCACCAGCAGTGCACAAGGGTTCCAATTTCTTCACATTCTTCCCAATCCTTATTTTTTTTAAGATTTGAGAGAGAGAGAGAGAGAGAGCACAAGCATGGGGAGGGGCTCAATCCCAGGACTAGGATCATGACCTGAGCCGAAGGCAGACACTTCAACTGAACCACCCAGGTGCCCCTGTTTTTTTGATAGTAACCATCCTAGTTAGTATGAAGTGATTCCATCCATTTACATTTAATCTATGTCTTTATATCTAAAGTGGGTTTCTTGTAGATAATATGTAGTTGGGTCTTATTTTTTAAATCTACTCTCTCAGTCTCTGCCTTGGTGTATTTAGGCCATTTACACTTAAAATGATTATTGATATAGTTGGATTAAAATCTACCATATTACAGCTGTTTTTGACTCATTGTTCTCATTTTTTGTTTCTTCTAAAGACTCCCAAACTTTTTCTGCCTTCTCTGTATTCTTTTGAGCAGATTATAAGATTCTCTCATATAATGTCAATTTTACTTATTTTACAAAGTTTTTACTGGTGGCCCTAGGGTATGCAGTTTACATTGGCACTACTCTAAGTCCACTTTCAAATAACACTATACTGTGCTTCATGGGTAGTGCAGATATCTTATAAGAGAGTATTTCCAGTTCCTTCCTCTTGTCCTTTATAACATGGCTGTCATTCATGTCACTTACATATAATCACCAAGTACATTGTTGCTGTTTTTATTACTAAATTATAATTCCAGTATAGTTAACATACAGTGTGTTATATGAATTTAAAGTGTACAATGTAGTGATTCAACAATTTCATACATCACCCAGTGCTCATCATGACAAGTGCCCTCCTTAATCCCTGTCACCCATTTCACCCATCCCTCCACCCACCTTCCCTCTGGTAATCATCAGTTTGTTCTGTATAGTTAAGAATCTATTTCTTGGGGAAGACCTGGGTGGCTCAGTTGGTGAAGTGTCTGCCTTCGGCTCGGGTCATGATCCCAGGGTCCTGGGATCGAGCCCCGCATCAGGCTCCTTGCTCAGTGGGGAGCCTTCTTCTCCCTCTCCCATTCCCCCTGCTTGTGTTCCCTCTCTGGCTGTGTCTCTGTCAAATAAATAAATAAAATCTTTAAAAAAATATATTTCTTGGTTTGTCTCTCTCTCTTTTGTCCCCCCTTTATTTTTTTCTTAAACTCCACATGAGTGATTATCATATGGTATTTGTCTTTCTCTGACTTATTTCGCTTAGCATTATAGTCTCTAGCTCCATCCACGTCATTGCAAATGGCAAGATTTCATTATTTTTATGGCTGGGTAATATTCCATTTTGTATATATACCACATCTTCTTTATCCATTCATCTACTGATGGACACTTGGGCTACTTCCATAGTT